CTGTAGTTCTCACGAGCTTACCTGTTGGTAGACCTAAACTAGCTAAAGAAACTAGCGAAAGTGAAAAATGCCCTTCCCAAGCCAAATAGAACCTTGGTTTGGTCGGAAAACATGAACATGAAGGTAAATGGCGTCCATCAGCAGCACTAAAAAGTTTTGTTCAGTCTTTATTCGGTATGCGCACGCGCTTTCCCTTAGACTTAGAATGTGTATCGCCCGTAACTGCTAATTCGAGCTGTTTCCGACGAGGACCTGTGTAGGCGGGCCGATGACCAATACAATGTAATCTTTTTCTCGTAATTTCGTAACAATTAGACTTCTTGGGGGATGAAAGGTTTGTTGGGCCCCCACGATGACCGCTCTAGTTATAAGAATTTAAGGGACTTCTGCGTCACTGAGCACCATTGGCGCCCCCACCAAGCCGAACTGCGTTATAGCTAATTAAGCACCAGTATAGAAACAAGTATAGACGTGCAAAGCTACCGCAGGAAGGACACACAGTACCCCAAAGAAACATGTAACCTACTGCTATAACTGTTCTTCATGACCACACACTTCATTTTTCGACACCTTGTATCCTTACAATGCCACTCTTCAAAAGTAAGCTTGCATTTTTATCAGACCTGTTTGCAGATTTTGCAACAAACTTCTCTCCTGTGACCGTTTCACTCCTGAGTACGGATAGCGCGCGATTCAGCGCGAAAATGTACTGTGCCGAAACGTTGGGTGACTCTGGGTGTCTTGGCGTCGATGTCTGTGAAACAAGCGGTAGGCGCTTCCACACAGGGCACATAATTGGTTGGGGACTTCGGTCAAGTCCGTAGGCCCCAGTTCTGAGGGGTGGCTCGGTACTACCCTCCCCTCCCTCCCTAGTCCCCTCCTCTGAAATGATCGAGCTGTCGAGCGGGAGGGGGGCGATATTTAGCACATGTGAAACGGGGAAAAAGCGAGGAAAAATACGATCACTTCCCCTCCGCCATCCCACCCACCACTTCCCTCGATTTTCCCAACTTCCTACCACTTTTCCGGAATTTTCCAGGAATTTCCTTAGTTTTTCCCAAAAATTTTACTGTTGAGCGGGGCAGGGAGGTACATTGTACATATGAAACAGGAAAAACCACGAAAAATCAACAACCTCTCTCAAAAAGCCAGAAGGGAACTACGATCTCCAACAACGAGTGAGTGCGCCCCCCCCTGCAGATTCTATCTTCTATCTTCTCAGACCAAGTACGACCCTCGCTTCCCCCAGCGAAGAAATGCGATCCCCGCCCTTCCCCTGCTGAAGAATTCCCAATGATGATGTGCCCTGTTGTGATCTGGCACCGGCGTCTGTGACGCAATTCGTGTTTATGGAGTCACAACCTCGGACATAAGTTTAAAAGACTGCACCAAGCGAACGATTCGACAAGGATCCTACCCAAAACCCCGGACTGTGTCAAATCTACCCCTCTCCAAGCATTTTGACCTTAAAACTTTCTAGCTCAGTTCCATAAATTGTCTCACCACTGACAAGTCTGTCGGGTAAACGGCAATGGAAATCTCATCACAGCTGACGTCACTCTCGCTACCAGGTGGTCTTCCACACGCGCGCATCGTATTTGCTACCGGTTTCGCTGCGGAGTTTAGCACAACTAAAATTGCCCACGCCTTTCAAAAATTATTAGAACGGTGGTCATATTTTCTAATCAAAAGGAGCTCAATCAGCGGCCACTCGAACATCTGACGGCGTGGTAAGGGCATGTCGTGGCGTTGGAGAGAATTTCCAATAAACGACACTCCGAATTCTCTTCACCGGTGCGACCCCCACTTGCAAATTGCGACCTACCTGAGTCTTATCGAGTTCCTCCGTCAAACGGGAGGAGATAGGTAGTCAGCTCCGATCGACTCTCAGAAATAGTAGCTTTGCGTAGTCACCAGCTAAGAGGGAGAGGGCGTAAACGGGCAGAAAATTAGTCCGCGGCCAAATACGAACCCGGTCCCCTCCAGCCATGGAACACGACCCCATCGAGGATTTCTCCAACATACGACGTACCCTAGATTCAGTTACCAAGAGACAACATGC